ATTTTCCTATCTTTCCTGCGAAACAAATTATCCTACCTTTCTTTTACAGCAACAACAGTGTAGGTGCATTAGGCTAGATTTATTCCTGTAGCTGCGTCTTGCTGTAGCTCTGCCCAGTAGGTCTCGTGGGGTCTTAGACGTGGTATATTATGATCTTGAGCAGGTCTGACGTGGTCTTACGGACCAAGCATGTTGTTGTGTATAGCAAGGACACATCGTCTTGCAACCCCTCTTGTTCCTGGCAGGGCAGTTATTCTATGTGAACCATCTAGTCCAAGTGCTTACAGATTGTATACGAGCAATGAAGGCTCTCTGAATATCTTGCATGCCGTGAGACGTATGACAACACATCAGCAGTCTAACAGAGAACAATTGGCTACCTCATACCATCAGTTTGGTGTCGCGTACCATCAGTGTGGCGTCGCGTACCATCAGTTTGCCGTCGCGTACCATCAGTGTGGCGTCGCGTACCATCACTGTGGCGTCGCGTACCATCTGTGGCGTCGCGTAATATCAGTGGCGTCGCGTACCATCAGTGTGGCGTCGCGTACCATCAGTGTGGCGTCGCGTACCATAAGTGTGGCGTCGCGTACCATCACTGGCGTCGCGTACCATCACTGGCGTCGCGTACCATCACTATGGCGTCGCGTACCATCACTGTGGCGTCGCGTACCATCTGTGGCGTCGCGTAATATCAGTGGCGTCGCGTACCATCAGTGTGGCGTCGCGTACCATCAGTGTGGCGTCGCGTACCATCAGTGTGGCGTCGCGTAATATCAGTGGCGTCGCGTACCATCAGTGTGGCGTCGCGTACCATCAGTGTGGCGTCGCGTACCATCAGTGGCGTCGCGTACCATCTGTGGCGTCGCGTAATATCAGTGGCGTCGCGTACCATCAGTGTGGCGTCGCGTACCATCAGTGTGGCGTCGCGTACCATCAGTGTGGCGTCGCGTACCATCACTGACGTCGCGTACCATCAGTGTGGCGTCGCGTACCATCAGTGTGGCGTCGCGTACCATCAGTGTGGCGTCGCGTACCATCAGTGTGGCGTCGCGTACCATCAGTGTGGCATCGCGTAATATCAGTGGCGTCGCGTACCATCAGTGTGGCGTCGCGTACCATCACTGTGGTGTCGCGTACCATAACTAGCGTCGCGTACCATCAGTGTGGCGTCACGTACCATAAATGTGGCGTCGCGTACCATCAGTGTGGCGTCGCGTACCATCACTGTGGCGTCACGTACCATCAGTGTGGCGTTGCGTACCATCACTGTGGTGTCACGTACCATCACTATGGCGTCAAGTACCATCACTGTGGTGTCGCGTACCATCACTGTGGCGTCGCGTACCATCACTGTGGTGTCGCGTACCATCACTGTGGCTTCGCGTACCATCAGTGTGGCGTCGCGTACCATCACTGTGGCGTCGCGTACCATCACTGTGGCGTCGCGTACCATCATTGTGGCGTCGCGTACCATCACTGTGGTGTCGCGTACCATCACTTTGGTGTCGCGTACCATCACTGTGGCGTCGCGTACCATCACTGGCGTCGCGTACCATCAGTGTGGCGTCGCGTACCATCAGTGTGGCGTCGCGTACCATCAGTGTGGCGTTGCGTACCATCACTGTGGCGTCACATACCATCAGTGTGGCGTCGCGTACCATCAGTGTGGCATCACATACCATCAGTGTGGCATCCCGTACCATCACTGTGGCATTGCGTACTATCACTGTGGCGTCACGTACCATCAGTGTGGCGTCGCGTACCATCAGTGTGGCGTCGCGTACCATCAGTGGCGTCGCGTACCATCACTGTGGTGTCGCGTACCATCACTGTGGTGTTGCATACCATCACTGTGGTGTCGCATACCATCACTGTGGTGTCGCGTACCATCAGTGTGGCGTCGCGTACCATCAGTGTGGCGTCGTGTACCATCAGTGTGGCGTCGTATACCATCAGTGTGGCGTCGCGTACCATCAGTGTGGCGTCGCGTACCATCACTGTGGCGTCACGTACCATCACTGTGGCGTCGCATACCATCAGTGTGGCGTCGCGTACCATCTGTGGCGTCGCGTACCATCAGTGTGGCGTCGCGTACCATCAGTGTGGCATCGCGTACCATCACTGTGGCGTCGCGTACCATCAGTGTGGCGTCGCATACCATCAGTGTGGCGTCGCGTACCATCAGTGTGGCGTCGCGTACCATCAGTGTGGCGTCGCGTACCATCAGTGTGGCATCGCGTACCATCAGTGTGGCGTTGCGTACCATCACTGTGGCGTCGCGTACAATCAGAGTGGCGTCGTGTAATATCAGTGGCGTTGGGTACCATCAGTGTGGCGTTGCGTACCATCAGTGTGGCGTCGCGTACCATCACTGTGGCGTCGCGTACCATCAGTGTGGCATTGCGTACCATCGCTGTGGCGTCGTGTACCATCGCTGTGGCGTCGCGTACCATCACTGGCGTCGTGTACCATCAGGTTGGCGCCGTGTACCATCACTGGTGTCGCGTACCATCACTGTGGCGTCGTGTACCATCACTGTGGCGTCGCGTACCATCACTGTGGCATCGTGTACCATCACTGTGGCGTCGTGTACCATCACTGTGGCGTCGCATACCATCACTGTGGCGTCGCGTACCATCACTGTGGCGTCGCGTACCATCACTGTGGCGTCGCGTACCATCAGTGTGGCTTCGCGTACCATCAGTGTCGCGTCGCGTACCATCAGTGTGGCGTCACGTACCATCAGTGTGGCGTCACGTACCATCAGTGTGGCGTCGCGTACCATCAGTGTGGCGTCGCTTACCATCAGTGTGGCGTCGCGTACCATCAGTGTGGCATCGCGTACCATCAGTGTGTCGTCGCGTACCATCAGTGTGGCGTCGCGTACCATCAGAGTGGCATCGCGTAATATCAGTGGCGTCGCGTACCATCAGTGTGGAGTCGCGTACCATCAGTGTGGTGTCACGTACCATCAGTGTGGCGTCGCGTACCATCACTATGGCGTCGCCTACCATCACTGTGGCGTCGCGTACCATCACTGTGGTGTCGCGTACCATCACTGTGGCGTCGCGTACCATCACTGTGGTGTTGCGTACCATCACTGTGGCATCGCGTACCATCACTGTGGCGTCGCGTACCATCACTGTGGCGTCGCGTACCATCTCTGGCGTCGCGTACCATCAATGTGGCGTCGCGTACCATCACTGTGGCGTCGCGTACAGTGTGGCATCGCGTACCATCAGTGTGGCGTCGCGTACCATCACTGTGGTGTCGCGTACCATAACTGTGGCGTCGCGTACCATCAGTGTGGCATCACGTACCATAAGTGTGGCATCGCGTACCATCAGTGTGGCGTCGCGTACCATCACTGGCGTCGCGTACCATCAGTGTGGCATCGCGTACCATCACTGTGGTGTCACGTACCATCACTGTGGCATCGAGTACCATCACTGTGGCGTCGCGTACCATCACTGTGGCGTCGCGTACCATCACTGTGGCTTCGCGTACCATCACTGTGGCGTCGCGTACCATCACTGTGGCGTCGTGTACCATCACTGTGGCGTCGCGTACCATCACTGTGGCGTCGCGTACCATCACTGTGGTGTCGCGTATCATCACTGTGGTGTCTCATACCATCACTGTGGCATCGCTTACCATCACTGGCGTCGCGTACCATCAGTGTGGCGTCGCGTACCATCAGTGTGGGATTGCGTACCATCAGTGGCGTTGCATACCATCACTGTGGTGTTGCGTACCATAACTGTGGTGTCACGTACCATCACTGAGGTGTCACGTACGATCAGTGTGGCGTCACGTACCATCAGTGTGGCGTCGCGTACCATCAGTGTGGCGTCGCGTACCATCAGTGTGGCGTCGCGTACGATCAGTGTGGCGTTGCGTACCATCAGAGTGGCGTCGCGTAATATCAGTGGCATCGCGTACCATCAGTGTGGCGTTGCGTACCATCAGTGTGGCATTGCGTACCATCATTATGGCGTCGCGTACCATCGCTGTGGCGTCGCGTACCATCACTGTGACGTCGCTTACAATCACTGGCGTCGTGTACCATCAGTGTGGCGCCGTGTACCATCACTGTGGTGTCGCGTACCATGACTGTGGCGTCGCGTACCATCACTGTGGCGTCGCGTACCATCACTGTGGCGTCGCGTACCATCACTGTGGCGTTGCGTACCATCACTGTGGCGTCGCGTACCATCACTGTGGCATCGCGTACCATCACTTTGGCGTCGCGTACCATCACTGTGGCGTCGCGTACCATCACTGTGGCGTCGCGTACCATCACTGTGGCGTCACGTACCATCACTGTGGCATTGCGTACCATCACTGTGGCGTCATGTACCATCAGTGTGGCATCGCGTACCATCACTGTGGCGTCGCGTACCATCACTGGCGTCGCGTACCATCACTGGCGTCGCGTACCATCAGTGTGGCATCGCGTACCATCACTGGCGTTGCGTACCATCACTGTGGCGTTGCGTACCATCACTGTGGCGTCACGTACCATCACTGTGGCGTCGCATACCATCACTGTGGCGTCGCGTACCATCAGTGTGGCGTCGCATACCATCACTGTGGCATTGCGTACCATCACTGTGGTGTCGTGTACCATCATTGTGGTGTCGCGTACCATCACTGTGGCGTCGTGTACCATCACTGTAGCATTGCGTACCATCAGTGTGGCGTTGTGGTGTCGCGTACCATCACTGTGGCGTCGCATACCATCACTGTGGTGTCGCGTACCATCACTGTGGCGTCGGGTACCATCACTGTGGCGTCGCGTACCATCACTGTGGCGTCGCGTACCATCACTGTGGCGTCGCGTACCATCACTGGCATCGCGTACCATCACTGTGGCGTCGCGTACCATCACTGTGGCGTCGCGTACCATCACTGTGGCGTCGCGTACCATCACTGTGGCGTCTCCTCCTCTTGAAAGTTTTCAAAATTAATTTTGAAATCAATTTCCCGAAGGCTACATGATCCTTAATGCTTTTGAAGCTGTCAAGCGCTTACGAAAAGTAAACGTTAATGTTAAAATGGAAATGAATAGGTAATGTTATTAGATATCGACACGATAACAAGGATGAATACAGTGTTATTGAATTTATTTTTAACGATATGTAAAACAGCACACAGTGGGATTAACTTCTTCAAAAAAAAATATGAAGAAAGAAAGAATTCCATAACACTGTATTTCTCTTCGTACCATCTTAAATCTTACCTGGAACTGGAGTATACCTGAAGAGGGTTTCGGGGGTCTACGCCCCCCGCGGCCAGGCCTGTGACCAGGCCTCGTGGTGGATCAGGGCCGGATCAACCAAGCTGTTACTGTTGGCCGCATGCAACCCGACGTACGAACCATAAGCCCGCTGGTCAGGTGCCTGTCCAGATCCAGGGGTCTATTGGTAATTCCCCTTATGTATGCTGGGAGGCAGTTGAACAGTCTTGGGCCCATAACACTTATTGTGTTGTCTCTTATCGTGCTAGTGACACCCCTGCTTTTTATTGGGGGGGGGGGATGTTGCAGCGTCTGCCGAGTCTTTTACTATCATAGAGAGTGATTTTCTTGTGCAAGTTTGGTACTAGTCCCTCTAGGATTTTTCAAGTGTATATTAATCGTATATCTCTCCCGCCTGCGTTCTAGGGAGTACAGGTTGAGGAACTTCAAGCGTTCCCAGTAATTGAGGTGTTTTATCGTAGTTAAGTGGGCCATGAAGGTTCTCTCTACATTTTCTAGGTCAGTAATTTCACCTGCCTTGAAAGGTGCTGTTAGTGTGCAGCAATATTCCAACCTAAATAGAACAAGCGACCTGGAGAATGTCATCATGGGCTTGGCATCCCTAGTTTTGAAGGTTCTCATTATCCATCCTGTCATTTTTCTAGCAGATGCGATTGATACATCTCTTTGAAGGTGAGATCTTCTGACATAATCACTCCTAGGTCTGTTACATTAGTTTTTCACCCTATTGCGTGTTGAAATTTGTTTTATACTTCGATGTAGTTTTAATTTCCTCAGGTTTTCCATGTCGGAGTAATTGACATTTCTCATCATTGAACTTCATAATGTTTTCTGCGGCCCATTTAAAGATTTGATTGATGTATTTGGTTGATATATAAATTTGAACAGATAGCTTTTTTAAATGTTTCGATTTCCATTTTACTGTGAGGTTCTTTCTTCTGGGGCAGCTGAAAGAAACAAAGAATGCCACGCACGTCCACAGACTCTTAAGACAACTTTAATGTAATGCAGCCTTAACCCAAGTTGCCAGCCAGCGACGTTCATTGTCAAGTCTGTGATGGAGCTGCAGACTAGAGACATTATATCAAGGAACTTTCAATGACTAGACTGGTGCAGTCAGCGACAGACATTTCTGATAGGTCAGGCTGGATTGTCTAAGTGAATGATGGGTGCTTCTGATAGTTCAGGTGATTGGTTGAATGATGGATGCTTCTGATAGTTCAGGCGATTGGTTGAATGATGGATGCTTCTGATAGTTCAGGCGATTGGTTGAATGATGGATGCTTCTGATAGTTCAGGCGATTGGTTGAATGATGGATGCTTCTGATAGTTCAGGCGATTGGTTGAATGATGGATGCTTCTGATAGTTCAGGTGATTGGTTGAATGATGGATACTTCTGATAGTTCAAGTGATTGATTGAATGATGGATACTTCTGATAGTTCAAGTGATTGGTTGAATGATGGATACTTCTGATAGTTCAGGTGATTGGTTGAATGATGGATACTTCTGATAGTTCAAGTGATTGGTTGAATGATGGGTACTTCTGATAGTTCAAGTGATTGGTTGAATGATAGATACTTCTGATAGTTCAGGTGATTGGTTGAATGATGGATACTTCTGATAGTTCAGATGATTGGCTGATTGATGTATGCTACTCGCAGTTCAAGTTAGGTAGCTTATTCTCGTTTGAAAACATCAGTGACTGAAGCTTTTCTCAGTGACGTCAACCATTCTGCATTTTCTATGTATTCTAAAAAAAAAAATAAATTAAGCTAACCTAAACTATGTGATCTAGACTAACCTAGCTAGGCTAGTCTAGATCACATAAACCTATTCAATATTTAACCACATATAGCAACTTAGAAAAGCACACAGTGATACGTCTGAGTATTACGTTGTGATGCTGTCTGCTCTGAGTCTCAGCTCCAGCTTCCAGAGGTCTAGCTGGTGCAGCCTTCGTTCTTATTTTTTATTGCCTATCATTCTTACACCAGCTTTGAGGACAAACTTTTCCTTCCCTACTCTCTCAGTATTATGATGTGTAAATTTCAGACATGTGCTGCTTACTCGCCAGTGTTCTGTCCACTGACTCACTCAGGTCGACCATCTTATACGCTCTCTTGATGCAAATTAATAATTCGTCTTAAATAAATTTTACTTTATTTCAGTTAAAAAATATAGCTTATTGTGATTTAATAATTAGGCTCGTGCTGGTGGTTAACGCTCTCGCTTCACACGGTGAGGGCCTGGGTTCGATTCCCAGCCAGAGTAGAAACATTGGACGTGTTTCTTTCACTTGTTGTCTATGTTCCCCATCAGTAAAATGGGTACCTGGGTGTTAGTCGACTGGTGTGGGTCGCATCCTGGGACACTGACCTAAGGAGGCCTGGTCACAGACCGGGCCGCGGGGGCGTTGACCCCCGGAACTCTCTCCAGATAAACTCCAGATATAAATAAATGTGTACAGTATCGGATCATACATAGCCAATATAAATTCTTCATTATCTAAACACACTGTACGTTTTACTTCGCCCTTACACAAAATTTCCCTCATCACCTGTACAGTTCATCCCTGAACACTTATGCTAAATACAAGTTTATACAATATTAGGCATGACAGCAATCAAAACAATGCAATATTCAGTAATATGTCTAATATATACACTTCACTCAACTTATAGATGTATTATGCCATTAGACATAATTCCATTAAAACAATATAAGACTGTGTAATTAATACAAAATAAAAACAATCCTCATACCCCTTCCCATCCGCTAATTACACTGGTGTTAATTGTGAAACATATTGTTCACAAGGCAGTAAATAGGTCTATTTTGCTAATTTTACTCTACACGGAAGATTTTCATATAGATGTTCTTTACATCTATATGAAGATTTATTCTTTAAAATAAGTAATGACAAAAAAAATATACACACTGAGGTCATATAAGGCCTATTGTGATTAATATTATCTATTTTGTTTTCACTAGCGCTCACATAATGACCTGCGGTACACAGCTTCATTAGATTTTGCCCCTGGGAGGCTGGCAGGTGAATTTATTAGGGCGGGTTCTTATCTTGAGTTAACATACAGACGCAACAGAATACACCACAACCCAAATAGTTAACACGTTGATGGCGATATAGAAAAATATACACAGACGTATGTCTTCTTGTGAGAATTTACTTTAATCCCTGGTTCATGGAATAAATCATAATTGAATGTCAATTTTCAGGTGAAGCGCATCATTAACGATCCTCGTCCAGTGCATAAGCTTTTAACTTAATAAACTTGGCGATATAATTTAAATGATAGAGGAAGTGTTAAATCTACCGTCGTGGACCAATCAAACTTAGGAAAATGGGTGGTAAGGAGTCTCCATCTAAAAGCAAGGAAATGCTTAGCCTTGATAATGTGAGTAGTTATGATTATAAATAATAATAAATTATAATGTGAAAAAATTACGAATACTTGGAAGTTCACTACTTTTTCACAGTGGTTGTTTTGCATATTATATTATGTAACTGCACTCACCAGTGTGTGCCTATAACTATTGTATTTAGTTTTTATACTTGTATAATGTATACATGAATGGTATGGCAGCACCAGAGACAGATAGAAGAATTAGACACAGTGAAAACTGAGTATGTGTATTGTAGATGTTTGGTCATCCAGTGGCTTCATCAGTACAAATTCAAGGACATAATGGGAGATAGCAGAACTGTATAATAACCTGAGGAACCATATAATGTGAACCTACAGTTTATTTTAGCCTAAACAATGTAACGATAAAATCATATTCAACTATTCCTCCCCTATTAACATTGATGTGACAGAATGTTTGTTGTATTTTTTGAGCTGTAACAAGTAGGTTGAAAGCGTGGCGTGAGGAGAGTGGCGAGTGGAGGGCGATGAATGGTACTCTAGTGAGCCCTAACTTTCCATCGACCGTACCCTGCACGACTCCAGTGTCGTGTTGACTTCAAGGCTCCCCAACGACATCGTATCAGACTCGTTCCTTCACACACTTCTTCGCTTCCACCACTCAACCTCTCCAACCGCAGGGTGGACTCTCTCTTTAGTTATTTATGTTGTAATTACTTGGGGTCACCCTCTCAGTTGCATCTCATCGTGACTTGCTGAGGACCCATTAGAAAACAGGAGCTGGGATGTATTCGTCGCCTTATAATCGGTGATACACACGTAACAACATTATCCATGTGCACCTTTCTATATCAAATATTTCTCTATGGATTTTCTGTACCATGATTATTAATAAAATTTCTATACTATATTATATATTATATAAGATATATTATATATATAGTATATATATATATATATATATATATAGTTATGATAGATTATGAGTGTATAATATATGTTTAATATATGTATAATATATGTAAATGTAATGTATAATTTTATGTATAATAATGTATATGTATATATATAGGTATATGTATAATAATATTGTGATAATATATTAAATAGTATATGTAACGTTATAAGTAGAGCATATAATATATATTATGTATATGTATAATATGTATATTATAATATATATATATGTATAATATACATATATATATGTAATATGTATAATATACATATATTATAGATTGTTATTAATAACATCTATATTATTGTTACTGTATAATATCACATATATATACTGTATAATAGAATATATATAATGTAATGTATAATATACCTATATATATGTATTATAACATATTATATATTGAAGATGTAAATATACATATGATATGTCTATAATATACAATATAATAATGAATATGTATCATATAATATAATATATATATGTATATGTATAATATATATAATATATATATGTATAATGTATAATATATATAGATATAATATGTTATATGTATATATTATATATAGAGTAAGATATGTATATGTAAATATAGATATTAATAATTTTTATGATAATAATAATATAATATATATAGTATATGGTATAATATAATATAATATAATATGTAGATTATCATAAATATATAATATAGAAATGTATATGTATAGATATATATAATATATATAAGTATATGTATAGAATATATATAATATATATGTATATGCATAATATATAATGTAAAATATTAATGTTATAATATATATATAATGTATATATGTATTTAAATTATAAATATAATATAATGTTTATATGTATATGTATATATTAATTAATAATAATGTAATATATGTATATGTATAATATATCTTAATATAATGTGCGATAGTATAGTATAAAAATAATGATAATATAGGTAAATGTATAATATATATATATAATGTATATAGATAATATATATATATAATGTATATATGATAATTATGTATAATAAATAGAATTTTATATTTTTTTATATGTATAATATATATATACATGTATATATGTATATGTATAAAAATATATTATATAATGTAATATATGTTATGATAATTATATAATTATAATGAATATAGTATATGTATAATATATATATAATGTATATATGTAAAATATATATAATTATATATGTATATGTTATAGTATATTATATAATTATATATGTAATATGTAATGTTATATATATAAGGTATAGATGTATATGTATAGTATATATTTCTGTGTATATGTAATATTATATATATAATGTATATATGTATATGTATAATATATATATAATGTATTAATTGTATATGTTATAATATATATAAAATGTATAATTATTGTAATAATGTATAAGATATATAATGTAATATATGTTAATTATATGTTATATAAATGTAAATATGTATTAGTATAGAGATATTTGTCTATAGTATAAAGATAATATATATGTTATATGTTAATATATATAATAATATATGTAACTAATAATAATAATAATATATGATGTAATTGTAATCTATATATACATATGTATGTATATGTATAATCTACATATTAATATATATGGTATATTTAGATTAATTATAACGATAATATAAGTATATGTATCAATATATATAATATATATTGGTATATGTATAATATATATAATATATATATGTATTGTATAATAAATAGATTATATAGTTGTATATTGTATAAAATATATAATATATATATTTATGTATTATATTATATATATATATATATTGTATATGTATAATATATATAAATATATATGTATTTATGTAAATTATATATAATATATATATGTAGATGTAAAATATTTATAATATATAATTACTGTATAGTAGAATATATATAATATAAATATGTATAATCGTTAATAGAATAATATATATATGTATAGGTATAATATATATAATATATATAGGTATATGTATAATATATATAATTATATATATAGTATAATATATATAATATATATTGTATATCTGTATAATATATATAATATATATATTCTATATGTATAATATATATACTAATATATAATGTATATTCTGTATTAATATAGATATTAAAAAATGTATTAGTATAATATATATAATATAGATATGTATATGTAAATAAATAAATGTATATTGGTAATATTTTATATTATAATATATATATGTATAAGATAATATATATAATTTACTATATGTATATGTATATTATATATAATATAATATGATATGTATAAAAGAATTTAAATATATATATGTATATGTATAATCAATATAATATATATATGTATATGTAGAATATATATAATATATATATGTATATGTATAATATAATATAATATATATTTGTATATGTTATATATATATATATATTATATATGTATATTATAATATATATAAAAAATATATTATATGTATAATAATATAATAATATATATATATGTATAAATATATATGTATATGTATAATATATATATGTATATGTATAATTATATATGTATATGTATAATTTAAATATGTATATGTAAAATAAATATATGTATATGTATAATATATATAATATAATATATATCTGTTAATAATATAATTAATATATATATTATATGTATAATATATATATATTAGTATTGTATATGTATAATAATATAATATATATATTATATGTATAATATATATAATACATATATGTATATGTACCAATATATATAATCATATATAATGTATAATGTATAAATATAATATAATTTATATATGTATATGTATATATATATAATATATATATGTATATGTATATAATGATATAATTTTTATATGTATATTATAATATATATAATAAATATTATGTATCAAGTAATAATAATATTTAATATACATATATATGTCTAATATATATAAAATCTATATGTATATGTAATAATTAATAATAATATATTTATGTATATGTATAATATATATTAATAGATATAGTATATTGTATAATAAATATAATATAATATTATATGTATAATATATATAATATGTAAAAGTATAATATGATTAATAATATATATTTATAATATATATAATAAATAACATGTACATATATACTGGATAATTTATATAATATATACATGAAATTATTGTATAACTAATATATTATATTAGTATTTGTATTAATATATATATTATATATATATAATATATATATAATATATATAGTAAATTATACAATATATATATAATATATATGTATAATATATATATAATTAATATATGTATAATATATATATAATATAATGTAAATAAGTATAATATATATATAATATATATGTATATGTATTATATATATGTAATGTATAATATAAATATAATATAAGTATAAGTATAATTTATATAATATATATTATATGTATAATATATATATATAATATATATGTATAGTGTATAATATATATAAATAATATAATATTTAATATGTAAAAATAATATAAAATATAAATTAATATTGTATATGATAATATAATATTAATTTATATGTATAATGTATAATATATAAAATAAACTATAATGTATATGATATATATATATATAATATAATGTATATGTATAATATATATATAATATATATGTATATTATAATATATATATCATAATATATGTATAGTATTAATATATAATAATATATTGTAACTATGTATTATAATATATAAATATATATGTATTATGTATACATTATATGTGATAAATTGTATAAATAGATATAATAATATATGTATAAGTATAATATATGATATAATAATATATGATAATGTATAAATAAATAAGCTTATGCAGGCTGGAGAGATACTTGATTATATACACCTGTAAAATCTCGAGGGACTAGTAGCCGAACTCTTGCACACGAAAATCACAATCACTGAGTGGGATACGGGGGGGAAGCAAAAGAGACTGGGCGAGACGGATGCAGCCATCCCCCAATGAAAACAGGGGTGTCACTAGCACGTAAGAGACCATACCATAAGTGTCAGGGGGGCCCAGACTGTTCACTGCCATCCCAGCATACATAAGGGGATTACCAACAGACCCCTTGCAGTCTTTCAAGGTTGGCACTGGACAAGCACCTTAAGAAGAAGTCCGATTCCTACCAGCCGGGCTGGGCTCGTACGTTGGTTTTGCGTGCAGCCAGTAGTAACAGCCCTGGTTGATGCAGGCCCTCTGATCCACCAGAGGCTGTCACAGACCGGCCGCCCGGGGGGGGGCGTTGAGACCCCTCGGAACTCTCTCCAGGTAAACTTTCGTCCAGTGTAGAATTATAATTATATTATGATATAGGTATAATATAATATATAATGTATATAGATTATTGATGTAGAATATAGATATATATATTATATATATATATATATATAATATATATAATATATATATATATATATATAATATATTATTACTTTCTTTCAACACACACGGCCAGTAATACTCTCCACTGAGGCAGGTGGTGGACACCCAAAAAAAAACACGAAAGTTTTTCCTCCCTTTACATTCTAGTAAGATATAACAGGAGAAGAGGTACTTAAGCCCCTTGCTCCCGCATTTTTAGTCGCCCTCTACAACACGCAGGCTATGGGGAAAGAATGCTGTTTCCACATCCCAGAAGGTCAGAGAAATAAACAAGAAGTCAGAACTAGAAAGAATAATAGAAGAAAACTCAGAGGGGTGGTATATATGTGCTTGTACATGTATGTGGAGTGTGACTAAGTGTAAGTAGAAGTAGCAAGACATCACCTGAAATCTTGCATGTTCAGAGATCAAGAAAAAAGGACACAGCAATCCTACCATCATGTAAAAACAACTACAGCTTTTGTTTTACACTCACTGCCAGGAGGAGGTAGTACCTCCTGGGTGGTTGTCCTGTCTACCATATATTAATATATATCTAATAATATATTATATATGACATATATAATATATAATATAAATATATATATATATATATTATTATAATATAAATATTAAGATTTCCAGTGAGACCCCCACATAACGTTTACCTCCGAATGCGACAAATTATGTAATGGTATTTATGTAAGTGTGTTTGTACGTGTATGTTTGGGGGTCTGAAATGGACTAATCTACTTCACAATATTCCCTTATGGAACAAATTCAGTCATACTTACTGCACCTGAACATACATTCTGGAATGAAAAAATATCGTTAAACAAACCGTGGTCCACAGTATATATATATAATATAACGTACAGTGGACCTCTCCGCAAAACGATACCATCCCAATTGGGGCGACCCAATTATGTAAGTGTATTGATGTAAGTTGCTTTTGTTTACGTGTATTTTTGGTGGGTCTGTAAATGGACCTAATCTTACTCAACAATATTCCTTATGGGAACAAATTCAGCCAGTATCTGGCAACCTTGAACCATACTTCTGGAATGAAAAAATATCGTTATTCCGGGTACCACCAGTTTATTAGTATATTATAGTTTATTGAAAGACAAAATACATTGACAAAAGTACAAGAATACAAGAACATAGATAACAACTCAGAGCCTTATCTCGAATACTTCGTCCAGCTCCCCAGCTACAGTGAGAGTAAAAGGTAGGTGGGATACAAGGAAAACAGAAGCGCAGCGAAGTAAGGAGAGAGGTTGAAGGTTATAAACAAAAAATAAAGTAAAAGGAGACAGTTAGGTAAGATATAAACAACTAATGGAGGACAGATGGGCTAGTGAGACTATAGGCAATGTGGTCGACGATGTATGGGGTAGGTTTAAAATTGTAGTGTTAGTGTCCTGCAGAAGTTTGTGGTTACAGGAAAGTGGGTGCAGGAGGGAAGAAGAGCGATTGGTGGAATGATGATGTAAAGAGAAGTGGCAAGGAAAAAAAGTTAGCATGTGAGAGTTTTTACAAATGTAGAAGTGATGGAAGGAGGAAGAGTATTGAAGAGAAAAAAGAGAGATTAAAGTAGAATGTGCAATAACAAATGTAAAAAGAGAGCAAAATGAGAGAGTGGGCGAGATGTTATCAACAAAAATTTTAATTGAAAATATGAAATTTATTGGAGTGAGATAATAAATTGTGGAAGCCTAGGAAACGAGTGAAATTGAACAGTTTAAAATAGGAGATGGAGAGTTTACTTAAATGGAGAGTAGAGGTATTGGAGAAGATGGAGGGGAATATTGTTGAGGAATTGTTAAATGTTGAATGAAGATAAGGAAGTGTGTGATTTTGTGTGAGAAGGGCCAGGGGAGAAACATCTGGTAGAGTGAGGAAGAGTCAGTGTGGGTGGGGAAGTTCTTGAGGGCGTGGATAGCGAATGAAGAGGGGTAAGGCCGCTGGATATGATGGATGATAAAAGATAGAAATTTAAAAACAGGTGGTGAGATAGTTTTGGAGTGTTGGTGTTATTATTTAGTTAATGTATGGAAGAGGGTAAGTACCTAGGGATTGGCAGAGACTGCATAGTTTTCCTTTGTAAAAATGCAAATATAAGGGGAAAAGAGAGTGCAAAAATGATAAGTTGGAATAAGTCTGTTGAGTATACATGTTAAAGTGTAATGTAGAGTTATTATTGAAAGAATTTTCGAGTAAGACAGAGATAGGCAAGAACCTCTTTTAAAAAAAAAAAAAAAAAAAAAAAACAAAAAAAAAAAAAACATCAGACAGTTGACAAGGAGGCTATAGGAATAGTAGAGAGGTATGTATACCAATGTTTACAGTGCACATATAAGTGGAATCATATTTAGATAAGAGTAAAGAGGTTTTTGTGGCATTTATGGTTTAGAAATGGCATATGACAGGGTGAATGGGGAGGCAATGTGCAGATGTGCAGGTTACTGGTATAGGAGGTAGGTTACTGAAAGCAGTGAAAGAATTTTTTACAGGATAATGAGGCTTATTAGGGGTATATAGAGAAGAGGGAGATTAATTTCCAGTAAAAGTAGGGCCTTAGACAAGAGATTCGATGTCACCATGTTTTTCAATATATTTAATAGATGGGGTTGTAAGAGAAGTGAGCGTGCACAGTCTTGGCAAGAAGTGGTGGGTAATAAGATAAGGATTGAACAGAAAGTGGAGTTGTCACAAGTTGCTCTTTGCTGATGAACACTGGCGTTTCTGGGATCTATGAGAAGTTTTTTGCAGAGTGTGCAGTGGAATAGAGTTTGGCAGGGTATGTATAAAAAAAAATAAATGAGAATATAGGAAAAGAGTAAGGTGAATGAAGGTAACAGAAAGATTAGGTGACGAAATGCTTGATATCAGATTGGAGAGAGAGAAGAGTAGGGTGAATAAATTCAGGCAGATTTATAGGAGTGAGCGGTGAGTTCAGCGAGGATGGGTCCTAGGAAGGATGACTGTGAATTCGATAAGAATTGATGATGTGGGTAAAAGGTGAGGTGTGTGGCACTGAGGGCTGTGAGACAAAAAACTTTGTCTGTTGAAGCAAAAAAAGGAATGTATGAGAGTATAGTTAACCACACTCTTATATGGGTGTGAAGCATGGGTGGTGAATGTTGCAACAGTGGAGAAGGCTGGGCAGTGGAGATGTCTGTCTGAGGCAATGGTGGTGTGAATCTAATGCAGAGAATCCAAAGTTTGAAGAGTAGGAGAAGTGCAGGATTAACTACAACACTATTATCCAGAGGCGTTGAGAGGGGTTATCGAGATGGTTTTGGACATGTAGAGAGAAGAGAACAAAAAGAATGACTTCGAGAGTTGTATAAAATTTGAGTAGGGAGGAGGCGGGGTAGGGCTGGCTAGGGAAGGTTGGAGGGAGGGGGTAAAGGAGTGTTGTGTAACCATACCCCTGCCGGGATTGAAAACCCGCATCATAGAGTCGCAAAACTCCAGCCCGTCGCGTTAGCCACTTAAACCAGCTAGCCACCATAAATTCATCCAACTAGTATATTTGTCTACACCTTAGGAAGGTTAGCACAGTCAACCACTGAGACCACAATGACAAGTTTTTATTACAGACGAATCTCCGGCCTATGCTAGCTGAGGAGATTGCGTCTGTAAAAACTTGCATTTTGTGTCAGTGTGCCTGTGCAACCCTTCCTATGGGGGAAATATACCTTAGTTGAGATGAATCTTAAGTGGCTTAGCTGTCTAGTGGCTAACGCGTACGGCTGGAGTTTTGAGACACTAAACCGCGGCTTCAATCTCAGCGGGGGTATGGTTTGTTTTGCAATCGTGTCATTATGATTTCTTAGTCAGGTTTTTTGTTTTTTTGTGTACAAGGGCCGGACTTACAGCAAAGCATGCGGAGGCGTATTTGATAGGAGGGAATGGAGACAAATGGTTTTAATGAACTTCTGACTTGCTGTTGGAGTGTGAGCAAAGTAACATGTATGAAAAAAGGATTCAGGGAAACTGCAGGCAGAGTGGAGTCCTGGAGATGAGGTAAGTACATTGTCCTGCACTCTATGAAGGTGGGGTGTATAATGTTGCAGTTTTATAACTGTAGTGTAAGCACCGTTGCCTCGCAAGACAGTGATGAGTGCTGCTTGAGGAAAGTTTTTCTTTTTCGGCTACCCCTGCCTTGGTGGGAAATCGTCCTGATGTGTTAATAAAAAATAATATATTTATAATATATATATATATAATATATATAGATATATAATTTTCTATATATATATATATGTTTTATTTATATATATATTATATATATTAATATATAAAGATAGATAGTTAATATATACATCTGTATAGTATATTTAAATAAGCTTTAGTAGTGACGCATGGTCGCAGGTGGAGGCAATGGATTTTAGTGGACTTAACATGCCTCTTGGAGTGTGAGTAAGGGTAATTTGGGGAAAAATCCTAGTCAAACTCGAAGTCTTGAGGTAGGAAGTACAGTGGCCTGCACACTGAAGAAGGGTATGATGAGGTGCAGTTCAAAGGGCATCTGAATTATGATATCCGCACTCTTCTGGCAAGAGAAGGATTTAATAACAGTGAATGCATGTCCTCATTTTTTGAAATCCCTGTGGGTCAGCCATCAGGAGTAAGAAGAGACTCGAACCTTCGTAAGATAGACGTACTACCCAATATATTCGACAGACTTTCACATCATGTAGTGTTAAGTATCCTGCTTCTTCGCACAGCTGTGATGCCATTGGACCGTGGTTGCCGTCAAGATTTCCGAAGGTAGGCAGCACAAGCTGGCCACATTCTGTGGTCCTGGCATCCCTCATCCTATCATGTCTTCTGGTTCCTATCTCAGCCTCGTTTTCAGAAGCTACACTTCTGGACCACATGTCACAGGTTACCGAGCTGTCTACACCTTCCTCAAGAGTAAGTTTTACATCCCATCGGCTTAAGGAAAGAATATACATTGTAGTTTTGACGTTTTTTTTTACTTCTTTCTTTGTTTCGGCTGCTTTATTTGAGACCCGCTTCCAATGAATATGCTCTTAACTTGCAGTATTGTCCATGATAAATATTTTGGTATTGGGTAGAGTGAATCTCTGGGGCTAGTTAGAAACACATTTGTGTAGTATGAAAAGCAAAGTATAATTCTGTTTTAATCAAAATATCAGTTTGGCCCTAAATTGATACACACATTTTTTTAGAGATGTCAATTTGTCTAGAATCCTTTATTGAATTTCAGTACATGAAAGACTAAACTGCATAATTTACAATTTTCTATTTGATTTTGGTTATTTGAAGAATGTTTCAAGTCAGTCTCTGTAAATTGAACAAACTTGGGACAAAGAATAAGAGCTGTTAGAATGAGAGAAGAACTAGAAGTGAGTATGAAAAAAGTATAATTAGTGAAGCAATCAGTTAAAAGTTAGGCAGCGAGAACCGATGGCATTAGACAAAATTTAAAAGCAGTTGGGCAGTATCGGAATGGTTGGTCACTTTTGTTCAGTATCTGTCTAAAAGAAGGAAGAAATGTAAGGATTGGCAGAAAGCATACGTGGAACCACATAATAAAAGTGAACAAGAAAGCATATAATAATTAAGTGAAATAAGTGTCTTAAATATAGCAGGTTTAGCGCCAGGTTTGGGGTGTCCCTGAAGGACGACCATTTAATGATTCTCTGAATCTTTTACTTCCTCCTGCTCTGCGATTTCATTTCTCTCATAACTCCAGAACTCTTCATTCAGTCACTTCGTAATGATCAACACTTGTGTGAGGTAATGAGGATCAGATTCTAGAAACAATTGACATGTGTACTGTAGGTGCTGAAGGAGTTTCATGTACTGTAGGTGCTGAAAGAGTTTTGCGTATTGTAGGTGCTGAAGGAGTTTTGTGTACTGTAGGTGCTGAAGGAGTTTTGTGTACTGTAGGCGCTGAAGGAGTTTCATGTACTGTAGGTTCTGAAGGAGTTTCGAAACACGTAATGGGAAGTTGAAAGTGAACAATAAAAAGATGATTAGGAATCATCATAGAGAAATAATTAGCTTAAAAGTTAATCGCATGGTATGAAATGAATGTATATAGATACCTGCATTCGAGGGAATGTTTTGTAAGATTATCATAAAACCTTCATAAGTAATGTACTGAAGACGGGGATACTGCTGCTTTTTTTATTTTATTTTTTTGTTTTTAATTAAAGTTCTTCAAAAATATTGTACAATTTCTTAAAAAAAAACATTATATGCTTGATACAATTTATGACGTGAAGTTAGTTTTCTTTATTTAGCATTTTTGTTATATGTGATTAAACTTTATCACTGCTTCGGCTTGGTCAGATTTTGGATAACAACAGGCCCTGTCAGGTGGATTCGCGCAGTCCGTTGTTCGGGTCGCCCCCATTCGAGGTATTAACGCCACCGACTACCCCAGCGGAGAGTTCTACAGTCCCAATCCAGAGGTAGCACAGTAAATTTTCAATTTCTTACTGTTAATTCCAAATTCGTTCAGCAGTGATGGGAATGGGAAGGTATTAATAGGCATTAAGCTGTTTATCTATTTATGTACAGGGGAGGACAAAAAAAAAAAATAGAAACACCTGTTGACTAAACTGGCGAACTGCTGTCGACCTAACTGTCAAATGTCTGAACAGTCAGTTTAAATGGGTTTTACGGGTCCCTTTGGTTGTCGTTATTTTTCATTCATATTTCTTTTGATACATTTCAGCAAATGAAAGACCTTTACAAACGTCCAAAGATGAAAATTGTAAGAACACGGATTTGCTGGGCAATCAGTTCACTACAACTGCTGAAATGTTTCAGTTTCAAGAGCAACTGTCGCTAATGGTCAGGATCTGCATCCCAAAATGAGAATATAAGATAGTTTTCCAACAAAAAGCAAAGTGAGGCAAGATGAAGCCTGTGTAACCGGGGTCCTACGAGTATTAGTGACTGCAGAGCAAAATTAAAACCTCTTGAAAAACCGGGTTTCAGCGAAAACAAGCGTAGTGAGCCCCCTGCAGCAAGTTTTTAAACCCATGGGGGGCGGGCCAATTTCCCTTTGAACCTTTTTTAAAAAATTTTAAAAATTTGTGCAAAGCCAAAAAAATATTTGTAAGGGGCCATAAGAAGTGGCCCGGGTCCATTGGAAGAACTTTAGGGTTCTGGATAAATTTTCGTTTAGATTTTCCAGACACTGTGTCCGATTTTTAGTCTTGGAACCAAAGAAGTTTAAAAACCGCAAAAGCAAGTTTCCGGGGATTTGGGCAAAAAATGGCTTGGAATTTTTTTGCCTGGCAAGTATTTGTTGGTAGGGTTAATCCCCCAAACTATTTTTTTGGGTTTTTGGTGACCATGGCCCCAAACGCTTTTTCCCTTAATGGCGGTGCCCATTTTCCCAAACCCGTTAAATGCCCCCAATTCACACTGCTAATTTTGGCCCCCAAAATTTGGGGCAAACATGAAAGTGAAGTCAAACACTTGGGATGGACCCCACAACCTCAATTTTTTAAAAAATATTATCGAGCATCTGTGGGATAAAATTTAAGAACAGAAAGTCAGGAACTGTTTTCCCCTCCACCGTGGGCCTGGTTTTGGAAATTTTTTTTTGGAAATGGGTTTTTTTTGCTGGAGGGAATGGCCCCTCAAAAATTTTAAAAAAACTTTTTTTCCCGAACCCCCAAAACTGTTTTAGCTTCCAATTGGGGCCCTTTCTTTTTTAAATTAAAAAAGAAAAAACAAGCTTTTATATTTTTTTCGGGAAACCCCAAAATTTTTTATTCTTTGGTTGTTTTTTTAAAGTTTCCCAATCTTTTTTTCCCTATTTAATTTTTTTCCCATTAAAGTTTCCACAGGAATAAAAATTTGAATGCTTTAAATATTTTGCCCTTAAAAACCCCCGGAAGTTGTGTTTCCTGTCAGGGTTTTTCACTTAAAAATTTTTTCCTTAATTGTCAAAAAATATTTTTTCCTTTTTTAAACGGGTTTTAAAATTGGTTATTAGGTTTGGGGGGGCAACACTCGGGAACTTCCAAATTTTTGGTTAATGTCTTTTAAAATTTGTTTTATATTTTTTGAAAAAAAAAAACCTTGTGTGGAAAAAAATTTCCAATTAAGTTTAATATTTTTCCTTTATGCATTTTTTTCCCTTGGGAAAAATTTAAAAATTCTTTAAATTTTAATTTATTTTTCACACTTGGGGTTTGGGGATTAGGAATTTGGGGGAAGTGTGAAACCTTTTCGGAAATTTTTCTAAAAGGGGGTTTTTTTTTTCTGACCCATTAAACATTTTTTTAATTTATGTAAAAAATTAAATTTTAAAAGGCCTTTTTGGGGGATTTTCTTTTTTTTTTCCCCAAATTGCCCTGGTCGCCAAAATTTCTGAAAAAAAAAAAAAATAAAAAAATTTTTAAATAAGATCACTTTAAAAAGGGGTTTTGGGAATTGCAAAAAATTTTGACAAAGGGAAAGAGCTTAAAACGGTTTCTGACCCCCTCCTTTAAGCCCTTTGATAATGGGGAGTTTTGGGAAAGGTTGGAATTTTAGTTTTTCTTTTGGGGAATTTTTTTCTTTTTTTTAAAAAATTTAAAAAATTTTAAAAAAAAAAGAAAATAAAAAATATAATATCCAAAAAAATTTTTCAAAAAGTCCGGGGTGTTCCCCCCGGGGAATTCCCCAAAAAAAATTGAAAAAAAAAGAAATTTTTAAACCTTTTCATTAAACATTTTACCCTTGATTTATATTTGTTTTTGCAGAGGGTTTTGGAAAAACCCTTTTCCAAAAATTTTTTTAAAAATTTTTAAATTTTAAAAAAATTAATGAATTTTTTAAATTTTAAAATATTTACCCCCATTGGGATATTTTTTAAAATGAAAAAAATTTTTTTAAAATTTCAACAATTCCCCTGTCCCCCAACCGAGGCGGGGTCCAAAAAGAAAAAAAAATTTCCCCTAAAAAGTACCCGCTTTCTAATTCCCAAAACCATTTCCCACCAACCCCAAAATTACCCCTTTTTTCGAGGGCCCCAGCACTTCCCTTCCCCTAAATATAAATTTTTCCAAAAGCCACATCCCTTCCCAAATGAAAAAACCCCCAAACCCCCCCCTTTAAAGTCGGCAATTTTTTATTTCCCCATTTCCAATTTTTCCCAATTCCCGGAAATTTTTTTGAAAAATAAAGGTTTCCCCAAATTTCCCTTAAGAGGTAAATTTCCCTCCCCCCAAAACCCTCCCTCGTCGGATTTCCCCAAGCCTTCCCCCTTTCATGTTTTGGGTAACAATTTTTTAAACCTTCCCTTTTTTGGGGTTTCCCTAAAACCGGGTTTTTGCCCCCCAATAATAACCCCACTCCCCTTTTTCCCCCCAAAACCCTTCGGGGAAAAGTACCCTAACCACCGCCGTCCCCCTTTAAAATTACTTTCTTTTCCCCTCCCCCCCTTTAAATTCCAAATTTTTTTTATCTAAAGGCCCAACCCACCCCCATCCCCCTTCTTTTTCAAATTTTTTATTAATTTTCCCACCTTTCCAATTTCCCAAAACATCCCAATTTTTGAAATTTTTTTCCCCAAAATTTCCCCTTAAGAAAGGGACATAAAAAAAAGTTAACCCGTTCCTTCCTTTTGGGCCCTAAATTTTAAACCCACCCCTTCCACCCCGAAAATGTTTACCCCTTTCCCCCCTTAAAAAAATAATTTTTAAAACCCGGTAATTCCCTCCCCAAAAGAAAATTTTTTTGGAAAGGCCCCTATCCTAAAAAACCACCCCTCCCCTTTTTCCCTCACCAATTCTTAAAAAATTTCCCGCACCTTAAAACCTTCCCCCCCTTTCCCCCCAAATATTTTAAAAAACCCTTTCCCCCACTTCTTCCTAAAACCCACCTCCCCTTTTGGTTTTAAACCCCAATGTTTCTTTACCTTATATAATTTGGCCCCCCACCATCTTTTCCTTAAACTCGTTTAAAAAATTTACTTTTAAAAATTTTTCCTTTTTCCCAAAGAAAAAAGGCAAAAAAACCTCGCCCCCACAAAAAAAAAAATTTTTCCAATTTTTTTTAAATTCCCCAAAGAAAAGGCATGCAAAAAAAACTTGCAACCCCCCTTTTTAAAATTTGATTAAAATTTTTAAAAGGGAATTAAAATTAGATTTTAAAATTTTAAACCCCCATCTTTTAAATTATTTAAAAAACCCGGGGGGACTTCCCTTCCCTTTCCAAAGGGACCACTTTTACGGGAATTTTGTCCCCCTTCTTTCCAAAAGGGGCCGAACCTTTCCTTTTAAAAAAATTTAAAACTTTTCCCAAACATTTAATTTAAATTACCACCTTTTCCAATATTTGAACACCCTGAAGGTTTCCTCAACCCCCTTTAAAATTTTTCCTTTTTCAAATTCAAAAAAGGGTAAAAACTTCCCCCCCTTTATTTTCAACCTCCCCTTAAGCATTTCCTAAAGGGTCCCCTCTTGGGTTTGCGAAAATTTAGTTTTAAAAATTTTCCCTAAAAATTTAAATTTCAAATTTTTCCCTAAAACCCCCAAAAAAAAAAAAAAAATTTTCCCTTTTTTAAAATATTTTAATGTTTAATTTAAACATTACAAAAAACCCCTAAAAGGCTGAAAAATTCTTGCTTTACTTCTTTTAAATTAATTTCTTTATTTTTAATAGGGGAATTTTTGGTTTAGAAAAATTTTCCCTTCTTTTTTAACCCCTTTAAAGCCCCCTTTTTGGGGTTTGTTATCCCTTCCCCCTTTTTTCCTTTTAAAAACCCAAAAAAATGGGAAACCATTCCAACACTATTTTCCCCCCTTCAACATTTCGTTTTTCCCTTTATTTGGGCGTTTTAAACCCCCTTTTTCCCTTTTGAAATGACTTCCCCCCCCCTTAATTTTTGTTTTCCAATTTTTAAAAGTGGTAAAAATCCCGACCAGGGGCAAAAAATTTAGGCCTTTTGGGGGTTTTTCCCTTCCCTTTTAAAATTTTCCCAAAAATTACTGCCTCTTTTCCAAAATTTCCCCCCAATCTTAAACCCCAACTTTTTCAAAATTTCTTCTCCCCTCCCTAACTTCCTCAATTTTCCCTTTCTTTTTCCCCCCACTTTCATTTTTTCTTCATTTCTTCCCCCAACTTTCCAATCCATTTCCTTTTTAAATCCATAAATTTTTTTTAAAACCCCCCCGTTATCTAAATTACTTTTCCTTAAAATTTTTTTCTTTTAAAACCCCCACTTATTCTTACACTTCCCCCAACCCCCCCAAACCCCTCTCTTTTTCTCCATCGCAATTCCTCCCCAATTCTTCTCCCTTTCTTATTCTTTCCAAAAAATTAAAACCCACCAAACTTTTCCCTGGAATTATCAAATTAAATTTTTTATTTCCTCTAAATTTTTTCCCATTCTTTCCCCTTTCTCTTTTATTTAAAATATCCCCCCATAACTTTTTCTCCAAATTCCCCCCCTTGGGGGAAACCTTCCCCTTTTTCTACATTTTTTAAAAAATACCAACCCTTCCAACACTATATCCCCTTTTTTACTTTAATCCACTTTTTTCTATTATCATCCCAACTTTTTCCCCCCTTTATTTTTACTAATTCCTTCATTCCCTACCCAACTTACATTCTTTTTCCTTACTCCAAAAATTTACCTTCCCCATCTAAAATTTACTCCCCTTTCTTCCTTAACTTAAAATTCCCACCAAAAGGAACCCTTTCCTAATCCCCCTCCCTCCCCCTTTTTAAACCCCCTTAAAACTCCTCCTTTTTTTAAACTGACAAATCCATAGGGCCCCCCTTGGGCTTTTTTAAACCCTTTGTTTTTTTAACCCTCCAAAAATTTTTTCTTTTTTTAAATTAAAAATTTT